AAAGAAAGTCAGGTATAAATCACATGATTAGAATGATGTATAGCGCGGACATGGAATAGTGGTGTATGGATCTAGCATGATGCAAAAGGAATTCTGTTTAGTTTCGATGAATGGCAGAAAGGCATTTCCATTAATGCAATGTACCGTTAATACGCACTACGAATATGTAACTAGTAATAAACGAACGTGTAATGTGTTAATGCATTTCCGGAAACCAGCCCCAAAATGGAAGAATATTCAGACTCGTTTTCATTATTTCTCATCTGATTTTATGTTTAACGTAGTTTTCATGCTCTATTTTCTCAGGAAAATGTAAATTCTGATTAGTTTTTACCGGTGTAAAATATTTTCAACGTTCGGTTGTGTTGGAAAGCCGACGACTGAAAAGCTAGAATCCATGAAAATATCTTGAATTACGTGAAACATTCCGGGAAATATTTTGGAAATTTTTCAGAACAAGTTGAAAATTAATATACAAATTATAGATAAGGATAGATCGCGTTGCAATTCCTCTTTTATTCAATATCGAATATAAATTTTTTAATTATAAACAAATATTTCGATTATTTTTGTATTCAATTAATTACGTTTAATTTTTTCTAAATATTTTTTTATCATATTTTCGCGAATTTTTCATTTCGAAATTTTTATTCTTATTTAAATATTTTTATTTGAAAGGAGGAGAAGAATTTTTCATTTATGTTGGGCACTGATTAATATAAAAAAGTACGTGGTGGATCGATTTGTAGATATATTGCGAAAATAGAAAAGATATCGATCTCTCTCTTGATCTCTGATCCTCGATTAAAATTAAAATTATCTCATATCTTGGAAAATTCGGAAGGATAACGCGATTCTTGTTTCCGTCACGTTCGTATGCTCTCGTCTTTGCTCCCTCTTTTCCTTTGATGCATTATGAATTGGAAATTACATTAGAATATCCTACACATACATATGAGTGCATTAAGGGAACAGGTGGCGGTATGGATTCTTTTAGCATATTTCAATAATCGCGATCGGTTTGATTTAGTTGGTAATCGTGGCCGCCGTATGCTGATCAGCCTTGTAAAGATTCCTAGGGGATCGAAGATACGTACGTTAGAAAAATAATCAATTTTCATTTTTGATCGATCGTTTCGTCGCGATTAGATAATTAAAATTAATTTTAACGCTTGAGGTTTTCCAGATTTTTCTCTTTAAAGGAAATTGCGCGATTAATTTTATCTTCCTCGTCAAATTTATTCAAAGAATAAAGTAACTGATAGAATAAAATTTATATAGATTAAAGTAATTTGCTATTTATTTATTTATTTTCGATTAATTTATTACATGAAATGTTGATATATTACGTCGAAAGTTATTTTTGGGTTAATTAACGGGTAGCGAGGATTAAATGTTTTGAAAGCAAATAGTAATTAATTATCACGTATAAATAATTTTTTACGTAATATTTAGTAATAATTTCGACAATAATAAAAAATATCCAGTGTATTTCAATCCAAATTCGAGCAAAGAATAAATCTTTTATTCGTGTTTTCATTTTTCAAACGATAAATTTTTACTTTGAACATTTTCCTAACTTATAATATTTTCATAAATTGATGACAAATCTCAGAAAACAAGAAAAAAAAAGTAATTTAACCCAAACTTATCATTTAAAAAATGAAATATTCGCGACAAATCACATACTCTAAAGATTTATCTCGAGGAATATCAATAATATTCACACTTAAGACTCGCATTCCCAAAACATTTCCTCCATCGATCATTAGCGGTAATAGAACCATCTATTACTCATGACAGAATTCACCGGAAGTGGTACGCATCGACTGATTAATACGTCAAACTTTCGCTTTATCTCCATTCTCAATCCGAGGAATTCTTCGACATTGGTCCCCTTTTCCTCTCCCGAATGAAAACTCCTCCCTCTCCGGCAGAAACGATTATAGAGGGGGAGGACCAGGGTCCTCTAACTCTCGATCATCTTCGAAAGTCGCGTGTAATCCCCAAGGGTCCCGGTGTAAGGCGGAGATTGGCTGTACATCGGCTGTTCTAATGAGATAAGTTCGCTCGTCGTGTCTTACTTTTAATATTCCTTGCCCTCTTCCGGTGCAGGGGAGATTTCGCTTTTAACGAGCGAAATATTGTCTGACATCGGCTTCCGGCGATTTTATTCATCTTTATTCCTATCGCGATTGATTTGTTAAACCCTTCCCTCGAAGGGAATGTTTGACGATGAATGTTCGATTATTCTGCCAACTATTCGTTAGCATAATTAAAATCGAAAGTGTGTCCCGATTTTTGAAGAAATTGGAGTGAATTATTTGGCCATATTGCGTGTCGAATCGTACAAAATTGTGATGATTAAAATTTATTGGAGATATCCACTTACGCGTCAACTAACAATTAATATCGATAAATTGACGTATTAAAGGATGAGATATTATTATAGAAGATGAGAAGAAAAAAAAAAAAAGTCGCAAGTGTTTCGTTTTAATGAGCGAATAAACTGTTTCAAAAACTGTAGGGAGTAATTACTATACCCCTCCGTTCAGGAAAAACGAAGGTTACTTACACCGGGACATTTTCCACGGAAAACGTAGAAGCGCCATGTGTCGCGAAATATCAGCTTAAAAGCATGCTTTTATTTTTTGATAAATTGCATCGTTAATCGGCTCTAGCTGAGGTTAGCTCGCAAGCCCCCGGAGGGTTGAA